ATTTCTGTGGTCACTGCTCCGTTTTTTTTTTTTTTTACGATACAGACGAGATTATGTCGCAATATATTGATTTATGTTTTTGGTGCATCAACACTAGTCTATGTGAGCTTATAATTATATAACTCCAAATCTGTAAATTACAGCTTAATCCATGACCCAGTCCAAGGGTCTTGAGGAATTCTGAACGCCAAGTTCAATCTCAGCCAAGATCCCACCCGAGAAAAACGTCCTAGAAGAACTTAACCTAATCGCTCCACTTCAACATAAAAGCTCGCGCGCAACGATCCATTCCCGACACACTGTGATGCCCTTGTATCAATTCCGAACATGGGCCGTCACTCGAGTCATCTTGCCAAGACCTCTCTGTTCCTGGCTCAAGCCTGCGGCACAAACGCCACCCCAGGCGGTAGGGAGCGCAAATTCGCTTCGATTAAAGGTTACTCTTTGAATGAGTAGTAGTCTGGTACTTTTACCACTATATTCGGCGAGGAAATGGACATCCTTAAGTTGCCGATGGAGTACACATTGAACCGGAACTTGCGTGGCCGGTACGATTCGATCTAATACCAGGGGAGAATGTAGCCAGAAAACACGCAGGCGTATGGATAATCCCCTGGCAGCCAAATAGTACTCGGATTCCTTCTTCCAAACCGACGTCCTAACCTCCACTGAGCTGTCTGACTCGGTTCCTTGACGAGAAACGTCAGCGTCCTCAGCTTAGCAATGAAAGGAAAGGGATGGACAATTAAAATACAGATGAGTATAGGTGGCCCAATGCAGAAGTACTAAAGATGGCGACCAACTTCATTGCGCTATCTAGACGACCACGCCAACCAGTGGCACCCAGCAGGAGAAAGGAAAAGGCGCCAAGTCTTCAAACGGCCTAAATAGAAACACTCTCTCGACATCTTAGGCGCGTGTAGAGCTTTGACTGCTGCCTGTAAGTCGAGATTGCCGTTAATGGTTGTGGGATGTTGATATTCTGCATCAGGATACATCCCGGAACTTTCGCTGCTTTCTTGGTTTTTTTTTTTCTTCCAGGTGACGCCATATAGATGTTCACGTTAGCACCTTGATCGAAGTGATGCTATATTGGAATTTTAGGTGCTTTGTGTCTCTATGATGCTTTTTCGGCCCCGTCCCACTGCCATATTATATATTCTAAGATTGAACTTAGAATACCGATGGGAAGACTGTCCTGTCGATAGGTCCGATGGCAAAGATTTATAGAATCTTCGACACTGCTTCTGGCGGGAATGATTATTTTCGTGGCGTGTGGAGGAAGAAGAGGTGGCTCTCGGTATGATAGTGACTCCGACTTTGCAAAATAAGGTTTCAGTGACATGATGGCTTCAGTGGATTTAATCTTTGCATTGTGAAATGTACATACACATATATAATTGAAAAGAGTCAGATCAGTCCAAGACTACAATTCATGAGTTATTACTTAGCTACAGCTACAAATTTTAAATGAATTCCCACGGCCAAATGACGTACTCCCGAAGTGAACATAAGATCTCCACTATGTCGTTATCTTATCATCCTTGTCTTATAGTCTTATCTTATCTTAACATTAGTATCTTGATTGCTTACTCCATATGCGCCAAGGCTTGAGAGAAACTCAAAGCCGGGTCACGATTTATCACTCGAAATTGACACACACACAAGTAGAATAGCGAACACCCGTAATATAGCTCATTCTCTACTTGAATGCTTTGATTCTAGCTATATAACTATGCCTCACCCACCGAATAAGTCGCAAATGGCTTACTAATTCTCCCCTGACCTTGGATAGAGGTTTTAAACAGAAGTGGGGGGGCCCGGGGATGGAGCTGACATCCGCCCCCAGGGAATCGAACTTTTATGACCATTACAAGTACTAGTTTGCTATTCTTGCTCCGGGCAGTATCATATTTGGGAGAACAGTTGTGAGAGGCCTCTATGATCAAGTCGATTCTAATGTGGTTAAGGGCAGAATGACCGGGAAAGGCATTATTAAACTCGCAAAATTGTGGAAATTTATCACTATGATATATGTACCTTTAACCTTATCACGAGCCGTTATATACATAGTTTGTGAGGTCGTTGCTACCAAGAATCCTCAGGACTTAATCAATGCATGAGTATACGAGTATACGTATATTCTGGTTATACTGCAAGCTCGCGTCTTTTCTTTATCAAAAAGAAAATAACAATGAAAAAGCATCAGGCGGAGATGTTAGAGCCGGAGAGGCTATGATCAGGTTTTGGGTCAACAGGATCTGGCTTCAATATTTTCTTTAAAACTCTACTTTCGTCGGGATCCGTCACCCGGCCGTATATTTGTTTTTGGTATTTTTCTTTTAATAAAAAAGCCGAGCGAGTTTAAACACTCTAGTCCATTTGTCTGTTATTACTAATTTCACTAGCTTTTGGTGCTGTCTCAAGTACTATATTGTACTACGTTCATCAACATGTACATGCACTTAAGAAACATATAAATACATGTATATCCGGATGGTGGTGATACATGAATTTGGGCGCACGGGACCGGATTTGGGCGAAGACTCGCCAAGAGATATTATGTATCAGGCGATCCTATGTTCCTATATCACCGATAGAAAGATACAATAATAATAACTCGTTTTTTTCGTATTTTTCGATCTATTTAATTAAAAATATATCTTATAATTTGTTTTTATATAAATAATTCTCAAATCAAATATTTGTAACGTTCTTAAGATAAACCAGGGTTAGGTGTTTTCCGGTCTTCCCGTCTTCGCTGTCAAGTACAGTGGTGACGCTACACTCTTCCCCACGACCAATACCATCTCTTTCATCCGTTTCATCAGCATTTGTTTGTTGTCCTATATAACCTAGCCATCTCAATTGTCTGATGAGCTTATAGGTCTTGATACGATAACCAAATCTCGAGCCCATGAAGTCGAAGCGGGAATGACATAGCCTCACAGATTCCTTTCCTAACGAGGTCCCCGTTTCTTGGGAACTATGGCTCCTAAAACTACCGACTTCAGCGGACCTGAAAAATGCCTGGGATCAGCCTTCTTCTCGTCTCTATCCCGAGACGAGTTATCACACGCGATTCATTAATTACTAGGACTGATGCGCCTCTCCTGAGAGGAGGTTTCAAAAATCTCAACAGATTATATCATGAACACTGCGGAGGGGAATCCTTATCCTTTGTAACATCACTACGCACAAAGGCTTGTCAGTGCAGAACCGCTCGCTTCAAGTTCATCGCGGGTGACATGTGGGGGCAAAGGTGAAGCCTTGCAAGGTGAGATTTATACAAGCTGATCGGGTCTTTATGTAGGTTTTATCGATCTTATAATCGCAAAAGTACATAATAATCTTCTGCAGTGTAAGAGTTCCACATAATGAATGAATGGAAATTGCCACATGACAGTAGTGGCTTGCATGAGCGTCGTCACAGTATAGGAAGGAATAAAAGAAGAAAGAATAATTCAAAGTGTTGACCTACAGCAAGGCCCATTTTTACCTTATGGAACAGCCACCAACGAATTAATAGAAAAATTTAAGGCACGTGGATTCAGCTGCAAGCCCTTTCGGATCTCTGGATATGTGTACTATCATGAGATTGATATCATGAAAACTCACTCGATGGCTCCATGGTTCTAATCGAATTGGTTCACTAGGTCAAGATCCTGGTTTCATGATTAAATTAATGTGGCGATATTAGCTGATTTATTTCACATATCGACCAATAGTCGTGTCCATACTACGTGGCCCTGGCAGCAGAAGCATATATCCACTCAAGTCGACAAGGCCAGCATTCAATCACATCTTATGTCCATTTTACACAATCAATTGCGAGCAAAATGCATGCCTTCATCGCACTTTGAAACAGCACCTCGCATGTGACAGTGCGGCCAGTGTGAGGTTTCCGCCTTCCGTACCCGACTGGTTTTTTGACTGTAGCTTTGAACTGTTGGCCAAGATTACTTTCTACATTCATGAGGGGAGGCGTTCTTCATAAGCTGGGCAGAAAACAGGCTCACTTATAGGGAGACATAAAAGTCATGAGCACATCCTGCACATATCTTATTCCTATTTTGGATGATACCACCAAAGCCGTTCATGATCAGGTTTGCGTTGCGCGTTACCAATTGAACTGTACAGAATTATGGCAGAGGTTTTTATTACGTCCCAACAACCTTGGGCGGGTACCCGGCCCCAGTCGGCGAATCCTCCGTTCACATGCCAGTTTCCCTGTAAAAGGGTTTAGGAAAGGGTTGAACGGTCTCAACAGATCTTCAACATTTACATTTCATGAGCTATAGGCTGTCATTTTTTTGAGTGGATCATACTTTCTGCCCAATTTGCCCTTCATTACCCCTCACGGGACGCAGGATCTTAGGCATCCTTGTTCACGGGCCCTCACTCGTACTCCAGAATAATCGTTGGCCCCGCATGTTGTCCGTGCACCCGCTCACTTTCCGTTTGTTCCTTCCCATGGGCTACCGTCAGTTGTATCTTTTCCCCCGGATTGGTTACTATTGTCTCCCCAAGAAATCGTCATATCTCGTGCATTGTGAGGCACACACATATCCGCTTGCTTTATCCACTGAGATTACAACCCCCCGTATACTGTGATTTGATTTATAGTCGAGATTCCGGGGGAAAATAAATGGAGATGGGCAAGACCGATGGACTCAATAGATATCTTAGAATCGCGCCCACATCTACATATCGTGCCACACATAAACACCATGAAAGTGGGGGGCCACGTGGCGGCCAGTCGACTTGATCCCTCGGAAACGTACACAGACATTGGCAAGAACTTTCCAGTCATCCTTTTCTATGCCAACTCCGACTGGGCCCGCCTCTCCTTTTTACCTTTGATACTTTCTCTATCCTCTTACCTACCTCAGTCAAGCTTATAGGTCTCTCTGCCTTCTAGATCGGCATATGCCTAATGGTAAAATTACCAGCCCCGTTACTGCAGGATTACTGTGCTGCAATCGTATTCCATTTTGTTTATGATTTGTATGTATGTACTACTCTATTCCCACTCTAGATGTAGACCGCGTACTGGCCATGCACCACAGTCATCGCTGATCATTCAATGCAATGTCTTAGAAATGATTCTCGGTAATACACAATGTCTCGTAATTGGACAGCACACTCGCAACCAGTTCATTGTTTCTAAGACATCATTCTATCATACGTTCAAAAATTGGTTTCTTTCGCGCGCGGCTATCAGATGACAGCGGGTGTAACCAAAACTAGACCTGGTATGTAAACCTTGCCCGATGTCCCTCCCGCTGGCTCCCCACAGAGAGTCCATCTTATCTTCTACTATATGATTTATACAAATTGTAAATCTGGATACTGATGTTTCCTCTCCCCTCGATTTCATGATGACATTAATGTTCATTGCTTGGCTTAGCGTATATGCAGACTGCGAGAAAACCGTAATCCCTGTCAGGAGATGTTCTACAATGGTGCGCCGCTTTCGTCTGGCTTTCTACCAATAGAACTAACCTTCGTCACCCCCGCCACCACCCTCAACTATGTATGTAGGTACTACATACCCAAATACTACAAGATGGAACATTAATTGACAATCCCAAACCCGCTAGCCAGCAAACAGATTCGCTCAAAACTTATCGTCCGAATCAAAATAAGGCTGTGCCAACAGCAAACTTCGCCTTCAGTATACACATGTATGTATGTATGTACCTCCGGTACTTTCTCTTACTCAGGCTAAGTTTGTCTTGCAGTACTTAATGAGATTATTAACTTCATTTCACTATTTTAAACTCAGCCTTGTTGTCTACACAAAATCCTGTTGGGAAACAACTCATCAGAAATAATTTATCTCACTGTACCTGAGCACCATCATTATATGCAGCTACACACAGCGCATCTAGCCCCCATTCTTGGTGCTAGTTCCAGAGCTGGTCATAGGTGATAGTCAGTAAAGATTGGGTACAGCTTGACCACGCTTATCGTCATATGACTACCCTTTGAAGAAGTAATTCGGGAATACCCTTGATCTGGAAGTTTGAACCATTGCGATGTCTTTCAGTTATTCGCTAGGACCCCACACATTCTTCACCAGATATCACTCGCGTCAAATACGAATGGTCAGATAGGCGTTTGATTTGATTGATTACTTCATTGATTGTATGCAACCCGGAGGTTATGACAATAGTCAGATAGGCGTTGAAAAGGGCTTCATTCTCAATGATCGAGTGCTGAGAGTCGTGGCATACTCTGAACCAAAGTACCTTCGGGTCGACCAATTTTCTGGTCTGGTGGAGTATCAGCGATAATCTAAAGGCCGTTTCATCTTGCTCAATTAAGTCTAGGCCCAGGGATATGTGAGGTTGAGAAGCCGATAACTCCCCGTGAAGAACCAAGTATGGGGGCCTTGTCATTGTTGCGGGTCTTCTAGGGGTAATCCCCTGAATCTGTGCATGTGTTCTATTCGTCTCATAATATGCACTAGGATCGAGGATACTCACCGCGTGTCACTCGCTCAATCAGGTACATGAAATAATCCCTGTGGTCATCATATGGCAATGAAGATCTGGGCTAGGTTCTAGCTTCTGGAAGCATGTAACGGTCTTGATCGACATGTCAAAATTTCCCCAGGATTACTCTATCATTGACCCATAAGAACTAATGATACGCAGATCATCGGTCATTATTGGCACGCAGTAGTATCTTACGCATGCGAAATTCTCTTCTCGGCACTTGTACGCATAGGCATCCCGCTCATCCAATAAAATGCCAAATTAAACTAATTCCACGCGATGAAGCAAGAGTCGCCCCCCAAATTGGAATAGAATTCCTTTCGTTACTCGAACGCCAATAAGAATAAGAAATTAACCCACATCAAGGCCAAGGATTGAATAACAGAAAAGAAAATAGCGAACCAATTATAAAGAATATCTAGGTCTCATGAGAGAGCGATGATTCTGCAAATGCCTGCTCGACAGGAAACTGACGAGGGTTCAGCCACCTATCCTTGAATGAATGCACCCGAGATCGAAAGGGCTGCGGCACCTGATCCTCCTGAGCACCACCGCTTATAGGAACCCCATCCAACTCCCATGAAATATCTAAAAACTGCGACTGCAGGGTATTCTTAAACCACATCTCGAACTTTAAGTCTGCTGGCCTAATGATCATATTCACTAGATATGACGCCTCGTAAAACCTCTTCAGCCCTAGATATCTCTTCCTCCTGTCGAATACCGAGTTCGGTAGTTTCCGCATGTCGGTTTTAAGCCGGCAAATGATTTTGACGTCTATTGCTGGATGTTAGCATTAGCGGCATGCATTTACTTCAGTAAGCCACAGGGATTAGCACTCACCAGGTCCCAAACGCCCGGGAGGCTCATCTGAGTCGCAGCGAACTAATATGTCCTCCCAGACGCCACATTTCTTGAACGTTCGACGCAGTTGCCGTGGAATGGTGAGTGATCCATTGGTGATTTCAACACCCTATTCCCGAGTAATCAATACCATTGGTCAATTACATGTAATTCTACCTTCATTGATCCCTCACCTTCCTGGCAAACCATTCCACTTGGTTCCTTGCAACCGCTTTGCCGGTATGTTCGTCCTTGTGATAGTCTGCTGGGTCGTGGATATTGGAGTCAAATGCATGGGAGACTAGGATTCCATAGTGTGCTGGGCATCTCCTTGATTCTACTGTGGTTGTATGTCCCTGCAGGTCTCTAACCTGATCACGGATACATCCGAGCACTGTGGCGCTTGCCCTGTAAGAGATCAGACGTGTCAAAAATATACTTTCAATGGAGGGGGAAAAGTCAAGTGTGCGGCCAATACGTGTCTGTGGGCTGAATCACTCGTATTGACTCTGATCTGAATGCTTCTTCAATCCGTTGCTTGAGGTACTGCGAGGATCCCAGGCCTCCGGCAAGGAATATCTTCTAGAATCTTTGTCAGATCTTCTTACCTTACGAGGAGGGATCCGGAACTTTTACTTACTCCTACTTTGACTCTCTCGATACGACATTGCCTCAGATGTTCCCGAAGCAGAGTAAGCGTCCTGCTAATTGAGGGCTCAAAGAACTCAATCATCATTTCTCTGAATCAAGTGTTCAGTAGGATTGATATTATTAGAAGACTTGGTGGTACTTACCGTGAAATCTGCACAAATCCTGCTACAATAAGATCTCCTTGTATACCTTCTCGTGGCAGTTCAACATGGAAATGTGGCCTAGATTCATCATTTGTAAAACTTTCTTTTCGAAGGATAAACTGTTGTCGGAGCTTATATCTCTCATCATTGCTGAGTTGTTGTAGAATGCCACGTTCCAACAAAACATCATCGAATGCTTTGTCAATGTATATTGAACCGCAGGGAGCACCTCCATTGATGAAACGGTCAGATAGATGGTTTAGGTAACAGAGGGCACGTTTGGGCATACCAGAAATAATTCCCATCTGTTTGACACGCGGTGCTTGTCCTGGCTGCAGGATTTGATAAGATGAAACATCCTGGACAAAAACCAATGTTAGTTGTCAGACTCGCGCGAGCTCGGCGCCTGTGCCACGCTATCAATTTTTCGGACGGCAAACTCACAACAGTGCCACCACCCGCATCACAGACTATAATTCCTTCGCCCGTCTATGATACCATATTAGCTTTCTCTTTGCATAAAAGTTTCGGGAATGAAACCGGATGTTTCCGTCGATTCCTCTGCCTATCGACCACTCAATCACTTACAACAAAATCCTCCTCCGAGCGCTGGCTGTATAGAGTATGAATAGCCGCCGCCTCAGGCTCCGTCAAGGTGACGTTGAATCTATGTTGGTGGAAGGATGTTTTAAGAATGATATTCCTAAACTCCTCTACGACAGGGTCCGAATACGTCGCTGGAACTGTAAAGGAAAATTCCATCCTGAGCTTATCGAGAGACTCCTCCTCCAATCGCTTCCGAATATGGTCATAGACTGCATTGAGAAAGTCGCTGATCATACCATGGGCTGTTTTGCTGGACATATCTGGGTATGTGTGTGCTTCACCAGATCCCAACGAAGTCTTGAACAATATTGACCGGCCAAAGCCTGCTTTGTCTGCCACGAAGCCCCATTCGTAGTCCTTACTACCTGACATATATCGGAGAACAGTGGGGACCTTGTGCATGAAGTTCTCGCACCCAGGCCAGCGGCCTAGTTGGGTGGGCATCGGGTCGCCGGGTCTCATATACGCAACACCTATAAACCCCCCGAAGTTAGCTACAAGAGTTCTTTTTATCGACAGGCATCTGTGGACATCCCTGTGCGAGTTGTTCCGAAATCAATTGCGACAGCAAGTATCTCACTCATCCTCGTCGCATGTAAATCACTATGCCCGTTGTTCATGTTCATTCTGTCCATGATGATGATATATCAGCAGCTATCAGTTATCAACAAACTCTGGCCATACAAAAGCCCCTCACACAATGGAGTCTTGGTGAAGAACCAACTTGGTAGAAAAATACTGAATCCTGCAGTACTTGCTCTCGTTGAGGGGTTGGTGCAATAGATTGATTGATTCACTGGAGTAAACGACCTGATCCCGGCAGTCTAAGCGAACTGGTCAGCTAGTGATCAAGGCAGAAAGAGTTTAATGGTCTGTCAAGCCGAAGGCAATATACGCAATTGAAAGTCAACGGGGGATACGTACTTATGTATCGATCTTGGTAACGTTCATTATACGACGTGAAGTAGAATGATAGTATACAGTCACTGTCAGTCAGTCATTAAATGCGCATGCTATGGATACATAGCATCGGGATTGCAGAGATAGATGTGCTCTGGTTTTCGCTAGATTATCCAACTGCGGGCTCCTTTCTATTCGTCACATGGAAACACTGTGATTGCATGAAGCGGAGAGGGCCACAGAGCGCTTGACAAGTATCTAGTCACGACTGCAGTGAAATTTGCAGGGAACCACCGCATATGCATACACGAATTTTGATTTGACCTAACAATCCGTTATGCAGGAACTCGGGATACCATAGGCGTTCAAGAGAAAAAATTGATTACAGGTTATATCCTAGGCCTTAACTTATACGGCTCCGATGTGGGATGAATTTATTGTCAAAAATAAAGGCTGACAGGTTTTAATTTTTTGTTTTTGTTTTTGGCGCCCCGCAAGACAGCCTGCAGCCCAGAGCATGTACGTCCGCACGGTACAGACTGACATCAAAGGATCCAACCTTGTTAATAAAAACTAAAAGGTTGTGTGATTTTATCAGTCGAATAACAATACTGAATCGTGGTGTGCCCACTCGTAGGTTCGCAATATGTAGCACTTGAGAGAGCTAGGTTAGTTCGCATTTGCAGGTCCGCCGATGGGGGTACCTAGCTAGCTCCTCAGAATGCCTAGGTTATGTAGTTATCTCTGTTGGATCATATTCATCTTGGGGGTACATACCTATCTTAATTAAATACTGCCATATTGTCTTTAAAATACGATTAGCCGCCCCCGCCACAAGATACCTTGCAATTGCTATTTTATCACACTCGACAATTCACGGTCGGGCCTCTCAGATTCCATAAACGATAGGTCTATAGGACGTGAGTCGTCGTCGTAGTCGTTCGGCTCATCTATAACCAAACATCGACATCCGCCTCAGTTTTCCAACAAGCAAAGAGATTGTTGTCTTCCTATTATATCAAAGTACATACCTCACTCGACGAACAAAAATAACTCTCCGCAACTGCGTTAATACAAAAGCCTTTCCCGGTCCCGCTGAAGAAACACATTCTCCATCTTCAAGGTCACAAGCAAGCTAGGGCGTGATTGATTCAGCCCTGTAAACAAAGCCACTTTCTTCTTTATCTTCATATTTTTTAAAAAACAGAAGCCACACACATGTGCTGCTTTCGAAGAAAAAAAAACGATGCTGGCTCATCGGTTCCTACTGCGAGACGGGGTACTCTACCTACAGGTTCGTAATGTTTTCTTACATTTGAAATGTCTTTTTGTTGCAATTGTACACAGCTAATTCCAAATTACCAGAAACTCCCCGACTAGTGTCCAGGCGACCATCTCCTCCCATGTCCCCTGTCACTACTATACACACCGAACAACCCAAAGATGATGCGGCCATAATCCGTCTGTTCAACTTAATCGACTCTAGCATCACCGACCATGTTCTCAATTACTATATAACCAACACCCTAGGGGTGTCCAACTGCGAAAGATTCGCTCAATTTGGGAGAAACAAGAGAGAGTTCGTATGGGTTCAGAATGTCACCTTGAATGAGCCAAGAATGCAAGTGGTCGTGATTAGATCAGTCATTAGCGCGGAGATCTTCAAAGCAGTTCGTGATGGCATGTTTGTTCCCCCAATGCCAGGTATGAGCCAGAACCCAAGGAGAGCCGAGTCGAGGAGCAGACAAACCCCAAGAAGTAAGTGTTTCACCCTCTTCTGAAGGTTTTCTACGGTAGATTCTCAATATAAGCAAGCATCTGCCCGGGGCTTAAAGTTACGTGCTTTTACCGAGTTTCTACTTATTTATATCGAGAGATCCATCATCTTCTGCGACGTGTGAAGAAGCAACTTTGCGCTCTCATTCAAATTCATATCCCAGATCATTCCTCGCACAATATCTACAAACCAGCTAACCCTCACAGACCCTCCCGCGTCAAGCATAGACCAGAAAGCCCGCATCGACTTCTTTCACAACCTCCCGCGAAACCCTCACTACGCTGCGCACCGCAAGAATGCTATTACCTCTCTCACCGACGAAATTATGCGCCTCACATTCCCCCTCATCGCGGATAGAAACAGGGAAGAAGCCCGCCAGCGTAGCCTTGAATTAATCATCAACAGCGCCGCGGACTTTGCAGTGACCACTGGCAAGCAGACACCATACTTCCGGGTCTCTTTCCCACAGCTGAGAGGTGGAAGCACCAACGGATCGAGGAGGGGAAGGACAGAGAACACGGATGCCCCGGTAATGGTGCCCGAGCTGAGAAAGTACGGGGACGAGAAGGGACTCGGATATGACCGGTATATCCCACTGGTTCCCGTTCAGAAGTTACCAGATAATCTATAATCCTATAAATCTCCCGTTTATGGTAAATTCCACACCTCTTATCAACCCCCCCCCCCCCCCCCTTTTTTTTTTTCCCAGGTCCCACCTGCAGTTCAACAGTTCAACGAGCCAATTTCTAACTTCTCTTCCTCTCGACAGAATTTAGTTCCTCTGTCCCGGACAATCCTCAAGATCTAGGGATTTCATTTTCACGCGTGTGCACGGCACCTTCGTGCTTAAAAATTCCATTTGTTCGTCATATTAATAATTCTCAGGAAGAGGGTGTGGTAGGGCAGCGCTGGATACGACTGTGTCCTCTTCTTATTTTCCTTCTTTTGGGATGCAGCGCATGAGCATAAGCATTTCTATAACTATAGCGGAGCTACCATTCTTTATAACCATTTATAATCCCCACGAGACACGAATAACGACCGTTATGGCGTTATGTTTTCTTTGTTTTTCTTTTCGTTTTTTCTACTTTTATTTTCTTTGTATATATATATATAATATATGAGTACTTTTTGTGGCGGGTTGTAAAAATAGCATATAAAATCCATGGAATACTTCTTTTTTCTTTTTTTTTTTTTTTTACTCAAACGTCCCGATCACTGTATACATGTACCGCCCCCATTAGCCTGTTGGTTATAGATGCCTCCAATTCGCCTATGACGTCTTTCTCCGCGAAAAAGCTTGATTTCCTGTGCTCGGGAATGGATATATATTTCGTCCGTGACCGTTTCCCTGCATAACTTCAGATGACATGAGCTGACTTCTTTTCCTTCCGTGAGTAAAATTTTCCGCCGTATGTATGTATGTATGTACATATGTGGGTTGTGCACGTACATATCCGGCCATGTGCCTCCGAGTCGAAGGAGGTATGTATGTACAATAGAGTATAAGTAGACTCTACTGGTACCTACATGATACCTAACTACAAGTTAGTATGACATTCCCAGAATGGATTGGTTGTAGTACACGTTCCTCACCCCCACAAACCCCCACAACCCCCCCACAGTAGTACCACGGAATATTAGTACCCTGCATTGAGTTATTATCCCACTCCAACTGTCTCGCATGCACACAGGCTAACCTAGCTGTCAGTCTTCGGAGAAATGGTACAATTACTTGCAGCATACATAATTTCCCGGGGTATCACGGCTATAAACCAAATATTCGGAATGCCAATAAAATATCATTTCTCATATATAGATACATGTGAGGCCTCCCAGAAGCCAAGAAAGAAAACGAATGATGATAATAATGCGCCTTAGCCCGAATCCAACACCAAGTCTGACAAAGGAAATAATTGAGGGAACAGCATTCAATGCTGGTATGTACACCTGCCCGAAAGAGCAGGTCAAGAAGACGTCGCTAAAACAAAATGTGCCCCCTCCCAATAGCGTTTTGAAATAATACAAAGAAGCGAAATAAAGGCCCACTGGGCTTTTATACCTTTTCCAAACAGATGTTCATCGTCGGTTCGTTGACGGTGAACGCGAATGCTGAAGAACAAAACGATCCAGGTTGAGGCCCGCTCCATTCCTCGATCTGGAATGCCTTCGCCGCAGCAGAGTAAGTCTGTTGGATATGAGCCACTGGAATATTCTGCCACTCCATGTCCTGCAGTTCCTGTGCGGCCCGTGCATATTCCTTTCCAAGTGCCGATAAGGTTTCTTCGTTCGACATTACCGGACTTTCCGGGGCTGGAGACGATGATGCAGATCCACGCCCAACCTGGATCGACTCGAAAGCCAAGATGTTTACTTTAAGGCTGAGTGCGGCGATCGTGTTGTAGAGGTTGCCGTTGAGATTCTTGAGGTTTCGTTGGTGCTTATCTGCATCTCTCCCCCACTTGATTTTCCATGCCAGGCTAGCGAATCCCTTTCGTTTTGAGTACCGGAGGTAGCGGTTCAAAGAGCCTTGAATACTTTCAAGCTCACACTGAAGTGGTCGCATATTTTTTATATAATCTTCCAGAAGATCTTGTGGGAGATGGCTAGACTCGAACATGTGCTGGAATTGAGAAAGAAGTCGGCGGGTGGAGGAGACTGTTTGCAAGCCTTCGTCAAGCTCAGATCGAGCACCTCGAACTTTTTGCACCGCGGCGTCGATCGTCTGAGCGAGGTCGATACAGGTGGCAACAATAGAAATAAGACCGAGACCCTCCATGTCTAATGGGTCGGGTTAGGAAAAGGAATAATTAAAAAAGGGCTTTAAGGTTTTGTTTGAAGTTGTTGGTTTTCACTGAGGTTGAAACGGGGAGTCTTTCCGAGGGGACCTTCGGCTGGTTTTATCTAGAGCAACGCCTCCCCACCGCGAAGTTCGTCCCAAATTCCAACAACTTCTGCGCACTGAGTATAACCCCCCACATGGGGCTGGCACCACGTTCGTTCGATGATCCCCACAATTAGAGCTGAATTGCTTCATTGCTCTATGACATAGGCCCCAGCGTCCCGGATCGTAGAGGTATGTACGAGATTCTATTCAACTTTACTTGCATACGGACACCTGCATCCTATCGTTCAAATCCCCCGTTCACACGTCTATCTTCCAGGGAGTACTCTAGGTACGTACAGACCTTCGTCACCTACGACCCGCTTCATGCGCAGCATTACGCCGGTTTTTTTTTTTTTTTTTTTTTTTTCCAAGGGTTTTTTTCTTTCTCTTTTCGAAGCGAGGGGTATCGATAGATAGTATGTTGGGTTAGTTGAAGGTGTGGTTGTTGGTCGACAAACCCCCGCTATGCATATGAGACAAGAGGCTCTCGGCTATCCAATCAGCAGGATGCGCTGGATCATTTTTTTTCTTTCGCTAATGGTTATGTTCCTTTGGTTACACCATCCTATTTTTCCGAACTACTTTAGGAATCGTCCCAATTATCCGAAATAGAAGACGGCCAGCAGCGATGTGTACCCGTTTGATTTGATAGTGTCACCACCAATGCAATCTCACGATGAATATTCGGATGGTTCGTGGATCCCGCGAGCGACTCTCGTATACGGCGTCATTGTACCACCCACGAAGTGGCATGAACCTCCGAACAAGAATTTCAGACGTGATACCCCGCTTTAACTTCTCAATGATGCCATGTCTGGAACCGGTAACGTATCATGTTGAGGTTTTGCCCTCTCAATATGTTAAATGTTCACAATATCACCGACGGTACCTGGGCTAGCTAGAGCCATGCGATGCCCTGCAGCTTATCGGTGTTGGTGGTGGTGATTGCTGTCCACCGCCTCCCCCTCACAGTCAGCACGTACTAGAGTACGAAGCCTATGGTGGTCTTTCCGTTTAACTATTTGTTTTCGTCGTTACTGGACGGGCTCTGCCGTGTTCATAGTCACAAGACACTACATCGGAAGCCCAAAAGAAAGAACAAAACCTGAAAAGGATGGGCGTAGGTAGAATACGTCCAAATTGTCTTTGAAGCAAATCATCTTTGAGGGATAAGCCATTCCAGCCTCGAACGATTTCATACGCGCAGAATTGTAAATGCACACTGCGCATTGGACCATAATTCGGTTTAGCCCCCTGGGTACAATTGGTGGATTTTTCTCGGTTCTCGGAAGTCCATCCCGAAATATATCAGTCGAAATACAGCATGCGAGTGCTGGATGAGCGCTATTGTGGTCCACCTATGCAATTTATGCCAGCGGAGAGAGCAATCGGACGACATGCGTCAACTGGACCAATCACAGGGTATGTCCACCCCCCCCCCTCTGTTTCTTTCTTGAACGCGCTTAGTCTCGGTCAGGCATTTAGAAAAAATCGTCGATCATGGTTTTATTGATAAAAGCATTATCATGATCTTCGTTGTCTCAATCCATTGACGTTTCGGAGAAAGCCTCAACAGTTTCAAAAGACTTTGCATACCTCTACCGCCGATATCAAAAGACCAGTGCCATCACTGCTAGGTATCTGAACATAACCGGAAGAACGAAGAAGAAAATTCTTGAGCTCATGAGGAAGCTAGTGACGGTAAGTTTGTGGTGGTTGTTTAGCCAGCCTTAGCCTTGAAGAGCAGGGTAATGTGTAAACCGTATCCAGGTCTCCGGGTTCCAATTTTGTTTAAATGGCCCAAAGTGGAGAAGCAGCTCCATTTGGAATCGACACCACGTATGTAGTCTTGAATAAAATCCAATAGGCAAATCTAAGACACAAGCGATTTTCCCGGCGAAAATGCGTCAAATTGAATCAACCTCAACTATACCGACCAGCTTCAATAGCGGTATGCCGGTATTTCGAATGAGAAGTTAGAATGCTTTTGGTCTTTGCTTTTCTCTTTCTTCCCTTGCAGAAGTGAGATTTCTAGTGTTCCATTTGTCAGGTCGCTACTGCAACAGCGGTTCATCGTACCAAATCTAGGTTTAATGTCCAGCTAACCACTGACGAATATCTCCTGCAACACGAATCCCCACTAGATTGAGGTCCGGTGAATGTAAGTCATGTCTTTCATTTCTTTTTCTACAATCCCACCTTCCTCCCATTTGTCGGGCAGTCCTTGGGATATCAGATGTATTTTGAAAGAAAAGATTCATCACCAAATCCGATGGGATTGCGGGGAGGATACACCCAAAACATGGAACTGGGATAACCAAAAATGACGTTCTTTAGCAGCAGAGAAGAGCCGTGCACTGGCTACTGCTGAGCATCCGAAAATTAAAAATAATAAATTCGATTTAGGCGATTGTATTCGTCAGCCCTAGCTGAGAGAAGCTCATCGAGAGAATGCTGACTCCTCTGGCGGCTTTACTTCTATTCGTAGGGCTTCTCCTCGGCCGTGGACATGCATTTCGAAATTTCTATGCGCATCTTCTCCGCATAAAAATCTGAGACCAATGCTATCTGCAGTGACGTCTCCATCAATGATCTGATTAATTGGTGCATGTCGCCTAGCACAGCATCAGCAGAGACCCAGCCTCCTCCTCTATAAATCTCTCGGCACATATCTAATTTCCATCAGGTGGATCGGCAATGGTGAGTGATATACTGTGATCGCGGGTCATCTACAGTGCCAAGACAGTCGTGAATGCATGAGGCTCGGATATATTTGAAAGTGATTTCAAAATAACGTGCGCTGGTCACATATCGAATTTATGTTCCTCACGTTGATCTTCAACATCAATGCTTCACCCGCGCTATGCATATAGTGCTTGAACGCTCAATCCTGCATGTCCAGGATATATTAAAGAGTACGTAAGTACGTGCATGCGCAGATGTACTCTGGTCGAGGATCGGAAAAAGCAAACATATCACGAAAAGTTGAAGGGTGTAGATCCTCTATCGACCCAATATCTTCCCCTTCTATTGCCAGCGAGAACGTTGAACCTATCCGCCCTATGAACATCCTAACATAGAGTTGTCAGCAACTATTTCTCGTCATATGAGCAGTTAAATGAGCAAGGTTCTGTAATTCAGAAGGGTTTTATGGATGGGGAGGCATGGCAGGAGAAGAGGCACAAGAACAGACGAATGATTGATGTATCAGGGATGGTCTCCTACTCCTTTGTGGTAACGGAGCACGTAATCCTGTTGTATCCTGTTGTATCCTGATGAGATCTTGAGATAAAACGGTGCAAGACAAAGATTTCCGGGGATGAAAAAGATAAGGCTCGAAAGGCTCGATGGTGTTTACACAACAATGTCAGCGGCGTAAACAGAAACGTGTCTAGAGAGCAGGGCGATGAAAAGGTCGGTAGCTACATAGTCGACTGCAGCCTCGCGCCAACTCTACGCATGCCACACAATGCTTACATACTCAACTGTGCGAATATCCAGAGCAAAACAGTATTAATTGGGCACTCAGCCACCTAGCCAAACTTCACACTGCATGATCACGTGCTCGGTGAGCTGATCAGCTGAGCTTGGCTAAGCAGGCACATCAAGCACAGAAAATCACTCGCACACCGCATCTACCACAAATGGCATCACTCGCTGCTTCTAGACACTCTACCCTACTGATATATTGTAGCCGACGATCCTTTCTGCATTGCACAAGGCAAGCTACTATTCTTTACACCATTTCGAGTGAGCGAGTTTCAGTTCCTGCATCTCTTATTTTTCTCTTCTTTGCTTTTTCCTCATACGGGCCGGCCGGCGGCGCAACGCGCCAATTCTTTCCTTTTTCCTAACCCTGATCACACACCACCACTTCGTTCTTCGATGTTGGGGACCGATCTTTGAAACCGTTGGTGTCGGAAGCTAGGCATGAGAGATATCTTGAGAATCGAACTTCTTTTTAGTTCTAGACGCGAGCCAAACACTGAGGCGCGCATCACAGAATATCAATCGTTTCGGACTGAGGTGTGAATTGAGGATTCCGTCACTTTTGCTAGTATCGACAATGTAACAGAAAAAACTGCTTTTTTCTTCTATAAGATTCCAAACATTTCCAGCAAAGGTCTTGGCAACTTCTATATTTCTATTGAAGGAGCTTTCTCTCCACCGAACGAGTGATATATTATGACTACCACACCAGAGGCACCCCATTAAAACACACACCAAACATTACACTCCGGGCCAAAATTTTCCTATCAAGCTATCTCCCATTCTAACTCCCCCAAGTATCTCCTCAAACAACGTAATGCAGAAACCCTAACCCTGACACATTATGTATATTCATCCGGATTCTCTAAAAAACAAAAACCAAACCCGCTTCGACAGTGAATAGGCTTCCCAACTTCTTACTCAAGATCCCAACAAAAGAAGCCACGTTTCAAGCAGACTATTTACACTTTTTCGACCATGTCGGCCATCACGTATGTACCCCAAAACCTCGCAGTGCATCCCTCTCTTTCTCTTCTAAAACCCCCACCAAGCACCTCGATCAACAGTGCATACCTATATGCTACCTACTTCAGAGTCACTCGCGACAGGCATGAAGTACCCGAATATGCAGCTGCAAGTTTTTGGTGTATTTTTGACTTCTACTCCAATGGAAATTGCAGATTAGGACGTGCATTTTCGGGTACTTGTTACCTGCTGCGAGTAGCTACATGCTTATTACGCACAAAAGAAATTCCTGCACTGCACTGCAGTGCAGTACATCCATGTCCGACGTCGTCAAAATAAGCAACAACAACAACAAAATAAGCAAACAAACGAAAAAAAAGGAAACAATCCCGCCTAAACAACCGCCGTCATATACCTTGCTCTCTGGAATATTCCTGGTCTGGGCATAGCATAGACGCATCCACTAGGCCGGCACATGGTCAACATGTGGATAAGCTGGGGTGATAGTATGCGATACAGTTGCAACTCGATACATGTGCCGGATTGCCAAGATTCAAAGCATTTAGTAGGGATAGCGGGGAATCGGAGATACATAGCAAATTGATTTTTGCAGTAGGAAAAACAATACCCCAAGAGGACCTCGCACGGGTAGCGAGGGGTCTTGTGCATCCCCAGATCACCTCGCACGGGATAGCGAAGGGTCTGGTGCATTCAGTTCCGGCATAGTTACCTAGTTGTGACTGTATGCAGCTGCAGCCAGTAAGTCGGTACTTTCCTTAGGTGCTCACGGTCACTCGGAACCTTAAGGTTTTTATAGTCAATCGCGGTAAATTCAAGGGCCGGGGTTTATGTCAACTACAGCACCAAAAAAGGCTATGGGATTCCCGTTAATGCAGCAAGAATTCGGTATTAGGACGTATACGGTATTCTTCGTGCAAAGTCGGTTTCATTCCGTATTCCTCACTACATTCGGCAGTCCTATGGTAGCGAGTTCACCCTTTTTTTTCATACTGCACTATCTTTCATTCTATATTACCAAACACCCAGAACATCTACCCCCTCCCCGGCCTGAGATATTGCATTAATCCAGTACCAACTCCTCTAACCAGAATCTGCGATGTCTGAAATTCGGAGATACAAGGCCACAAGCTAGATAGTTATTAACAGTACTATTCCCTTCAGATACATGTAATTCAAGAGGAATGTTCCACCGCTAGAATGCGTCGGTAACCGGATATATTTCTTTGAAGTCACGAGGTATCACTCGGTTTACAGCTCTACTACTTACAGCAGTAGATCCAAGAGCCTAATTTAGAACGGGTTAGTAATCGAATATATACGCTCGCATAGACTACTTGAATCATCCCACTGGTCTTCCTCTCACGCCTAAATCCGAACAGAAGTATCCCCTCAGCATATTTCCTAAGTAGATAGGTAGGTAAATATGAGCGGCATTGATATCGTGCTTTATATTTTGATTAATACTACTTTACTACTATATATACAACCTCCAAGTCCAAAGGTATCATTACCACACCACCACCCCTCAACTAGCCCCCACATAGCCCACAAAAGAAAATAGTACACCACCCATCCCAATATTCCAGCCCACCAAACGCCCAAACCCCACTACCAAAAAGAAAAAAAACCCAAAAAACAAGTCCTATCAAAAAAAAAAAAAAAAAGCAACCTTGGTCTCATCGCAACTTTCAACATCACAGCAACAATCTCCTCATCGCTGCCCACCCAACAATCCCCCAACATCATTCAGCATCATCTGTCCCCCCTCCCCGCTCTCCACAACCGTAGTCGCACCCGAATCACTCCCAGTGCTCTCGCGCCTCTCACCAAGTAGTCCTCCCACGTCGTAAAACGAAACCTGCCGTCTCCCACGGTTACTATGCATCCTCTCCGGCACCGGAAGGTCCCGCGGCTCCCCACCCCACTCCATGTCCGGCTCCTCCTTCTTCGGCGAGGTCGACGGCGGGGTTTGGTCTTTATCGTTGTACCGCGGCAGATCCGAGCGGTTATATGTCGGCGCCTTAAACGCCACCGGCGACGGGAACCCCGACGACCTTGAGCTCCTCTGTTTTCACATCAGCACCGCAATCATGAATACAAGGAAAGGGGGTATGTACCTCAGCGAGGCTCAACAAATCCGCATCGATGCCCATGCCCACGTCTCTGGCAAGGTCTTCATCGCTGCCCCAATAGAGGTTCCCCAGCATGACGCTCCGCCGGTCCATGGCGTCCTCGCCATCACTCGGTGCCCGAAACTTCTTCTTCTTGGGCCCGCGGTCGCGGGCGTAGGAGTTTAGGATGACGGCGTTGGCGCAGACGCATGCTGCTAGGCTCTCGATTGATGCCCAGAGCGTGCGGTATGCTTGGGAGTAGGTTCCTTGGAGACGGATGATGGAGGGGACGCGATAGAGTGTTGTTGCAACGGGGAGGAGGGAGAGGGAGAAGAGGAATATCATGTGGAACTTTCTGCAAGGGGGTGTTAGTAGGGAACGTGAGGAAAGAGGTGTGCGGGGGGGAGTGGGTGCACAAACGTTCGTGTACGCATCCCGGAGCGGCAGATGGCTGGAATGGGGAAGATGACGAGGAGGAGGTCGGTGAAGACGTTTAAACTTCCAAGGGTGACAAGAGGAACGTATGAAACACGGCATTGCGCTATTATTGCAAACATCGTTAGTAGGCATAGGCATAAACACACAAATTAAAAACAAAAAAAAGATGGTGGGGGAGAAACTCACGTCCTGGGTCTGGTTTAACCTGCCCTAGAGAATAGATAACAATGATTAGTATTCATTCGCATGATATAATAGATAGCAGTGCCACACTCGGTTAGTAAGACTTACAAAGTCTAAAACATACATAAGTCAGTAAATATATCTATAAGACCCAGTTATATATATATAGGGCTAGGGTTATAATCTGAGACTCACTTATGGGTCGGCCTACACTCCGCGAAAATACTGATACACGCTGCTGCAAACGTAACGAGTAAGCTCCACCGCAGGACCTTTAGCCCGATCTCGTAGTGTCGATCCCACACATGCACCGTAAGGCGCTTGTAAAACTCCGTGATGCAAAACTTCTGGCTCCAAATACTGCTCACGTGCCTCTTCATCAGTAACCATCCATCAACCACCAAAACCATCCGTGAAGAAAAACCAAAGTAAAATAAATTAATAATAATAGTAAAAAAAAGTCATCAAACTCACAACACAGCATACCACACCCTCGCTGCCAGCACCAGCTTACTCCCCAAAACCCTCTTCCTCACCTCCTCGTCAGTCATTCCGGTCGTGTCCGCATTATTCGTCCCCAGCACCAGCACCGCATGGATCAGTCCCATCCTGATCATCAAGGGCACCGCCGTAGCCGCCATCCATTTATCATCATTGAAAATCTTCATCGTCCTCGCGAACCTGCCCACCACCCGGGACACAATGATGAACAGGCACAGTGACGAGCACCACCATGTCACCAGCAGCGTTGGGCGGTCCTGGTGGGAGTTCCGGGGGGGCGGCGGGCCAATTGAGGGGTCGTAGAGACCCTTCCAGTGGATCGTCATCGAGGTCGTGGAGTAGTAGTAGTAGTGGGAGTGCTGAGGTGGTGGTGGGTGGTGGCATGAATTGATCGTGTGTGCCCTGCCTGGTATTTCCCCGGCGGTGGAGCTTTCAGTTGTTGGGGGATTGGGATTGATGAGCGGTAGGGGGGCAGTGGGTATATATCTGTGTATTAGGAGGGAAGGGGAAAGGAGAGCGAGAGATTCAAGGCTGAATTTTAGTTCTGTTTGAGGCTACCAGCTGAGGCGATATATGCACTTGTGGTAAGCGAGGGATCGAAAGCCTGGGATCGGTAGAGTAGTGCAATAACCATTCGACTAACGGGACAGTAGCCAGCAAATAGATAGAGACGAAGGGCAGGCGAGCAGGTTGATGAATTGGTGTTTGGGGGTAGGTAGGACCCTAGGTCAGAGGAGGCTTGGTGGGGAGGGGGAGCAGTAGTAATACAGGTAAGCAGGCAAGTACTATAAAAGTCTCGGCCCCCCAGTGCAAAGAAAAAAAAGGCCCGCCTCGAGAGCAAGCAAGAAGCAGGAGCCGAAGAATTTAGCAGCAAATAAGGTAGATCCCTGCGGCAGCAACTTATAGTGCACTAGGCATTCACTACACAGCCTTTTAACTGCAAGCCCTCTAGGCTCTAGCTACAGCTACAATTAAAAGCTGGCCAAAACTAACAGGGCCCAGAGATAAGAAGGCTTCCCGGAACGAAGGTGCTGGAGCGCGAGAACCGAAGGGAATTATTTCGATTCGGGAGTGGCACAGTGCAGTTGCAGTAGGTACTCTACTGCGAACCCTAACCACCAACGGGTGAAGAGACCTCGTCTATATAGGGTGTGATGGGGGCAACGTGCAACCCAGGTAGAAGCGCATGCACAATTAACTGTGGTATGTAGATGAGCCTATAGCGCCGGAGTAACTGAGGCGAAAAGAAGTGAAGATATTCCCGTCCGACTGAGGTCCGACCGAGACAAATTGAGATCGGAGAAGACGTTGAGCTCAGACGCTGGAGGCTAGCAGCATCGACAAGAGAGGCGGACAGACAAGGAGGGGTAGATGAGGTTGATATGGCGAACGCTTTTTCTTTTCTTTTTGTGTTCGGGAAAACAAAAGAAGAAGGGGAAAAAAAAGCACAGTCAGAGAGTTTGACACCCGGCTCAGTCGTAAGGCTACTGTTACTCTGCAGTTTGCGTTCAACTACCGCCCATTCCGCAAAAGTAGGGCAACCAACCAGCCAATCTGGTGGGACGAACTGGCGCGTAGAGTAAGCCCAACGTCTCAATTCAGCATTGTAGCCACGGCGATACCGCCTAGATATCTACATCCATCCATACATGTGTGAATGACCGTTGCACTGTGCTGGTGGGGGTGGAAACAACAAAGCTCTCGCTCGTGTGATCTTGGGGTGCACTGAAGTTTGATCAAACACACACCTTTAGTTTTCTAGCTCTGTTTCTCTCTCCACCGGCAGCGGTGATATCTGACCTCGAGCGCACCGGGAAAGAGTCAAGAAGAAGAGTAAAGAAAAAAGAAGAAAGAAAAAAAAACTCGTTTTTAAACTTCTTCCATCACGCCTCACGTCACAAGTGACAATCCCAATTCTACATGCCAAAGCGAGAATAAATCGGCAAAGACCCAAGACCCGCGCGAGTGAGCGATCGGGGATATGGTCGGAGAATCCTTGTGATGCCCATCGCACGGAGCAGGGACAACTGGCAGGGGCCACATTTGCCAAGGTTCCTGTGTTTTTCAAGCCGTGTGTGCGAGGAGAGGGAATTTGGATATGCGCTCTTGGTACATACATACATGTATGTTCTCGAGAAAAGATTGAGATATCCCGTGACGGTGGTTGTGCGATGAATTGGGCTTTAATTGCATGGCTGAAAATGAAAAAAAAGGAAGGCTGAGAGGGCTGATGGTAGATGTAGTAGAGTAGAGTAGAGGTTTGTTGGTCCTACAGACACAAATTTGCATGAAGCCGGCGCCATCATTGGAAGTCGAACATGACAGTAATCATCATTTGTCGTTTATGACAGATAAACCTGCACTTGACAGCCGCAGATCGCATTTTTCACCTCGCCAGGCCTCGTCGCACCAGTTACCGTTACGCTAACACACAATAACCAACAAATCCTTATTCGCTTACCCACGCGACATCGACCAGCGCTCTCATCTTGTGGAAGCTGAAACCAGCCTTGGCATAATTCTCCTATTTAGGAACATAGGAACTTGCAGGTTGGCCAATTGGTGGAAGTACGACTTGATATCGATATATCACGGTATGCACTCTACATCTGTAACTACTTACTAGTACCTCTCAAGACCGCGAGATGCCAAAGTTCAAATAACATCGTCCCATGTTCCTAAGATCTCCCCGCAGAGATGGGCGAGGTGAGACATTTGCCATCGACGGTTTCGCCGAGACATTTTGCGCAATTGCCTTCCTGCCTTCCTGCCTTCCTGCGCATCTCTGCGCATCTCTGCCTGACTTGCCTCACCGCCTTGGTCCCGCCGAGCAGGTAGACACACGTACACCGGCCGCGACTTTTCATTTCCTCCGTCCGGCCCCCTTCTTGAGGCTCGAGCTCAATATCGATCCAGCTCCCCTCACCGCTGGATAGATTCGGCGTCTTAGGTTAACGATGGTGCCCGTAATTAGGCACTATAGGTATAGGTCATGATCAATCACCGAGACAATTGATGTCTTTCACCGGACGGGCTTTGTAGTATGTTTGACTTGTACCTTTTGATCTGATATCCGACCTTTACCCGGCCCGTCCTGTACCTACATACGTATACCCCACAATAGCATGTGAAGCATGTGAAACATGTGAAAAAGTAGAGGGAAACAAAACCATAACAGTGTATTATTTAACTTACGCACAGTTGCACACAACATCTCACCGCACCTCATGACCACCCCCAATCAGCTCTTAGGGATTGAGCAATGTATCCATCTCACCCCATCTCATCCCCCGCCCTGCCCCAATGCCTCTTCGTCTCCAAGATCTCATTTTCCCCGCTATCCACGCAGGAATATTCCGTCGTGCGCATTTCCGTAAGCAGTCGTTGTTTTCCAACCGCGGGGGTGGCCCGTGATGCTAAGCGAACACTTAAACGTGGGGTCGCTGCAAGGCTTTAAACTCTCGAGTCCGGAGATGGCAGCTGAATGTGGATGTAAGCTTTTCTTGGTATTTGGACAAGAAGGGTTCATTGATGACTAGTTAGTGGGAGGTTAATTCCCAAAGAAGACCAGGCAACAAGACAGGAAGTCAGTTCTTGATATCCAAGGGTTCAAGGGTTCAACGCATGTTTCTGGAAGGTCAAGGGTTAGGGTTAGTTGGGGAGTTGATTGTCAAAGCCGCAGAGCCGCAGAGCCGCCACCCATCTCAAATACGAAAGACGCACAAGGCACACAGAAGATATACGTATACCTATGGCACACCATCATGATCATGATAGCCAAAGGCAACCCATATTGGCCACCATAACGAGTTCGAGCTATCTATCACGGTCGCCCTTCGTATCTTCAAAATACATTGCTATCTACGCGCCTCACTTCTTGTTTATCAGCATTCCAGTCAGCTTCTCGACAAGGGCCCGGAAGATATAGTACCTATTTCACTCACCTCATTCATTATATTTAATTCATCAGCATCCTACCTACTTCGATTTCTAGAAATACCTTCTATCCCTCCAGCAGCAGTGGAAATTCAAATGCCGTCCTGCGCTCTTTCGAATCCATCGCGCGCAAAATCCCTCTCAAATTTGCCGATGTGATATCGCCGCGATTATGAATGGCATGTGTGTAACCCCAGTTAGCTGGTGGAATCACCCTATCTTTATCTCTACATGTATCTAGTGTGTGACCAACAGCTTCCCCATGCCCGCTGGTATCTTTTCTCAAAATAACCTGTACTCCCCCCCAGCCGCATGCAGAGATAAGTATCGAATAGTTCGCCTTACTACAGTTGAAACGACGGGGCTGTGGTTCTATTTCATGCACTTTACGCAATGGTGGTGTGAGAATGCGTTCTAGAACAGTCACTTACTCTACCTAACTGCAGTACATCGAAGTTCTCAGGCTCATAGAATAGGCAGAGTATACGTAGAGTATGTCCAGCACATGCATTGTACATGATGTAGAGTATCCTACTTATGCTCGAGGGCAGAGTACATGTGTGGGCCCAATTTCATCCGGATACCTAGCCGCTGTACGCGGGGGAATTGACGTACAGGGCACCTGCACGTGACGGTGTTTTGCAGTTGAGTACCTCCACTGTCCCAAAAGCTTCTACTAACTCCCTTGGCTAGAATAGGTATGTAGAGGATGCGCCGCGCGGTGCGGTGAGGGCGTTGTAGGTTTCATATCGGTGTCCTCCGGTATCCTTTTAGGAGTTGACCACTCAAGGAGCAAATATTCGGCCATCTTTTCGAATAAGCAATCATTGAAAGTGTCACCGATGATTGTAATATGTATCTGACAGCTTGTGCCCGTATGCTCCTCCCCGTTATGTGTAGCAGATTCCAGCCAAGCCAAAGCCAAGCAGCCACTTCATGAAGTTCCAGTTCGGGGTAAATACCGAAGAAAGAGGGGTGCGAAATGGAGAAAGAAAAAAAAAACAGCAAAATTGGAGGAACACCTGAAAATCCAGGCAAGGAAGACATTGAAGAAAATATGGGCGTTGTTTTGAAAGCGTTCGAAAAAAGGAAGGTATTTAGGTTTTGGGCACACATGCACGATGCAGGAGGAGCTCTTGTGCATACTGTGGGGGAGATGGGCCGGGACTATGAGGAGATAGGTATCGGCTTTAGTCTTGAGATATCTGCAGCTGATGTGCCGTTACTCGTTTTTGAAGGTGTCCTCTACCGGTTGTTCGTTGTAGGCTTTCTAGACGGATCCCCTAGATAATACGTTGTTATCACCGCAATCATGGGTTTGGGCTTTAAGGGAAATAAGGCAATCTTTATGTTAGAATTAACCACGTTCTCTAAAGATCCAGAAGATTGA